TCGGAAGAATGGGGATACGTTAAGTTAGGTTACAAGTTTATGAAATTTAATAGGGGGACAAGAAACAGAATGGGGAATAAATTATGAATTTGCCAGTATGTGATAAAAAAATCCTATATTCTTTAATTTCTCGGAGGGGGCGGGGTAAGAAATAAAAGCGAATCATAACCATTGTATACACAGGAAAAACAATATGAAAACCTACAGTACAATGCCAAAACATCCATGAAGTTCGTCCCAGGGTAAGGGCTTCCTATTGAAAAAAAAAAAAAAATATATATATATATATTTTTTTTTTCATCACTATCAAAAAGGATCAACAGGAAAGGCAGGTAACCCCACCCCCTCGAATAATTTGATAAATGGAAAGATTACCAGATATTGTTAAGCTAAAAATTATAATCACAAATGGATCTATAATGCCATGATGATGCAAAAAATGTAGGCAACACTTATTGTAATATAAGATCGCTGTGGTCTATATTACAAATGAAAATTGTAGTCAAAGCCACTATTACAGTTAATTTTTAAAAATATATTTTATTAATTTTCCATGTAATATATATATATATATATATATATATATATATATATATATATATATATATATATATATATATATAGATGCACACACACACACACACACACACACACACACACACACACACACACACACACACACACACACACACTCACATATACATATATATAGTAATATCGCTGAACTCTGCCGTCAATAGGTCGCCAAACCTGGATTGCCTCGGGCTCCTCAGGGTCTCAGTCCGGCCCGGTACACAAGCACTGCGGAACAGACGCGGCCGGCCTTGAACTCCAGACCTGATTATAGTTCACAAGGATGGTGTTCATAGCTGTCGAATCGCGAAAACTCTTCTTACAAGTTAGTGGCTTCAGGTCATGCGGGAAAAATCAAGAGGCCAACTAGCATGCTATTGTACAAGGAATTAAAGTAGTAAATATTATACAACACTTGGTTCTTAATAGAAGTTTAACCTTGACTTGACGTGGGTGGAATTGTCGGAATGCCGAGGATACAGGTCATGTTCGCTGTTTTTCTGTTTATTGCCTTTACACATACATGACTTCAGGATCACCTGTTTACCTTTTTATTCAACTTTTTGGAAATATTATTTTCTATTTTTTCTGGCTATTGATAGTCATTTTTTTCTGGTTCTTGAATATCATTATTTACTTGATACAGCAATAACAACGATGATAAAAAGGACAGTAATAATGCCGATGATAAGAGTAATACTAATGACAATAATCACAATAGCAATATTAATAATGCTAGTATTGCTAATGATAATAGCGCTGATGCTGAGGGCATAACTGATGAAAATAATAAAACTAATATCACTAATGCTTAAATCAACCTCTATTATAAAATTATGACTCTGGTAACTTTACAAGTTAATCTCTTACGAGCGGTAATCATTGAATAAAATCTATAATATTTCAAAATACTGGTTTATAACGTGCCAGCTAAAATATTTTTGATACAACGCAGGCATTCCTATTCCATATATGGAAGGTCCTCATACGATCTATTACTGCATACGCAACACTATCCTGATATTTTCGGATGGCAAACTTTGAATCAATGAGATCTTAATTAATGAAGAAATGAATGTTATACATAATACTTTTATCAAATTATGTTTTGTGTATTGATGCGCTTATGTCGCAGTTACTTTTTTTTCCAGATTTCTGTAATCGCGAAGTTAATGTTAAAATCTGTGAGTCAAAGTATGATACAAAGTGAACCTTGCTTCATGCCATTTCCTTATAAGCGATTATAAACACTTAAAGATGACGTCA